TGCACTAGAGTATGATGCCTCCGATTTTGTTTAGAATGCAAGCCTCAGTCAGTTGTGTTCGGTGTGCTTATTATGTCCGTAGACTATCAAAGACATTGGATCACACACGATCACTTCCCTATGATTTGCTCAACGTTTCACCTGCATCAAGTTCACTTACAAGTTGTGCACCGGAAAGCCAGCACAAATTAAATGCCACAAATAAATCCGCTCGAGCAAATATGTGTCGTATAGTGCCTAAGTGTGGAGGAAGGGACAAGGACTTGGTTTGCAGTTTGAAGCAGAAGCGCTGTAATTATGCGAAAAATCCAATGTAAGCATCGCATTGTCTTACAATAGCTCTTCATTCCAGAGGCCAAGAAGTGACGGAAACTTATGGCCACAGACATTAAAATTATATCTATGGGAGACTGTTGTAGATATGCTGTAGCGTACCACAGGATTTTGGTCCGAGCTAACAAAATGATGCCATTTCCTTCTGTTGCATTGGCAAGGCACGATGTCTGGAGCTGGAGGGAGAAATGAACTGTCAGAAGGTGCGTCTTGCTCAGGTCGAGGAGGAGGCCCGACAGACGCAGGTGACCAACGAGCGCCTAATGAATGAACGTGAACGCCTTCGAGAAATTGTAGCTCGCGAGGTGGAGGAGGAGATAGCCGATGTTAGGTCCAAGGCTAACCAAGCACAACGCGAACTGGCTGAAGTACGAGCACAGGCCAACGCTGAAGTTGCCCGCCTCCAGACCGAGTTGGAGGCCTCCAGGCGAAATGCAGCCGAAGAATTGGAGTCAGTTCACCAGAGGTAGGCTACCCTACTTTTTATGCTTTGTAGCGAGGTATGGAGGATCGTTAATGATTTTGATTTTAATCACCGTTAAACCAGTTTTTCTTATGCAGACAGCAAAAGTGTTGAATACTTTCATCCATTTGGAGTTGCGAACTCCTTTGCAGGCCATAAGAACCTCATAACTACGACCTAGAAGAGAATTCATTCGAAAGAGACCCAACAGAACTAATCCTTCTGTTGCCTATGCTGTAATTGATGTCAGTCGACGTTTAGTACTAAAAAAACTGAAACTGCAGGATACACGCAGCCTGTAAAGTTACCACAACTTTACTTGTGTGAGTCTGCTGGTCACAAATGCATGTGTATCGCACGCAAGAGGTGTTGGATGCTGAACACCGTAAATCGTCGAAAGCTACAGACAGACTTAAAACAGCTATGCAACATGGTGGCCACCGGCCTTTGATTTGCACTTGAACAGTAATGCTGAGTAAAAACGTAATAGACTGGGTAAGAATTTGTTACACCTTGAGAGCAATGCCGTTTATGTACCCCAGTTTATAATCACTAACTCAACAACAGGAAAGCCTTAATGGCGCCACAAAAATGCTTCGATTGAGACAATTCGATCCGTGTTTTCCTAGCAGAAATTCTACCATAATGGGGAGAGCAATAAGGCTGCTTTCTCGTCTTCTATCGACGCGTCTTCCTCAGCCAAATGCTGTTCTAGAATGGTCTGTATAATGACGCTGAAGCAGACCTCTGTATTACCCCTCAAGTCGCTCGTGAAGTTGGAAGTGGGAAAGGGAAAAGCCTAAGATACACATACTTCCAAGGGCTTGTGCCAGTCTACCAGTCTCCATTCTTGGACAGGTAGCAGTCTTTTGACTGAAATTGCTCCGCTTATGCAAGGCTTGTTCTTTGTGTACTGTACATAGAATCATGACGAATCCCTCATGAAACGATTAAGCAGCCTCATAAGGGTGATCTCGTCGTCAATCTCAATTTCGATGCACCGGCGAGAGATGAGTGACTAACTTTGAACCGCCTTCTTGGTTAAACTAATTTTCTCTACTACTCATGATGTACTGGAAGCTGGAATCACAACACAGTCGACATCAATAACTGCTAAAACTTCACGTAAAAAAGTGAAGAAGTGGTCTATCATTTCAGCTCTGGACGAAAGCTAAACTTAAAGGCCACCAGCAGCTCCTACGCAGATTAAGGAATCATTTTACTTTTTTTTTCAGGATAAAAGAGGCAATCGTGATGAAGGACGAGAATATAAAGGAGTTAGTGCGAAAACACGAGAAAGAGGTGAAAGAGCTAACTACACAGTTAGTGATGATGAGGAGGACACAAAGCACCGACGAGGAAGACCGTCGCTGTGCTCCCGCAGGGAGTGCTAGGAGAGGAGCCAAGGTGAGGAGTTTCGCACCCACCACGATGCGGACCACCTCCCTACGCCGGCGCTGATTCCACACAGGAAGGGAAACCCTTCACTTACAAACATACATCCGCCAACTCTTCGCCCCCTCATCTTCCTTGCTTTTACAATCGGACCCACCTTTTGAAAAAACTGTTTGTGATTGTCGCATAATAGAATAACGTGCCGCTCCTACCACATTAGACATTGGTACATCTTGTCCGAATTTTGGGGAATTAATAAAACTGTTTGTAACTTTCAATTCCAATTTAACGACCGCGATTATACTTTTCAACATTACAATAAACTCTTGCGATTAGACCTGATTTCAACAGGCTCTTAGGTGTGGTACAATTTTTATCATTGTTATCAATTAGACTGACCTACAGACCAATTCTTATTAACAGTCAGTCTGGACAGACGGGGGCGTGGATCTCGCACTTTCCAGAACACACCATTTAGTGCCACTACTTTGTTGACCACACACCGCAGTCGAAGATAGTGAGCCTGTGAACCATTGCGCATTTCACGATGTAGTATTCCCCGCACACATTAAGAGCATCAAAGTAACACTTCTCATTGTCGCTATTCAAGCTGCCGCTAAGTGGAAATCGTTAAGGAAAACAGTGAAGTAACACAGACCAAGGCTTCTTCCAATCACAAACCGGCAACAAACCAAGTGGCCAATGTACACCATGTTCGCGTGTCTATTTCTGGTTCCCCACACCTTTGGTACGCATATTGTTTCAAGGGAAGAATAACTCATCAACCTCAAAGAAGTAGCACCAAGCCATTGGTAGAAAAAGCGATGTAGTATGAACAAATCAACCATACAATGTTATCATTGGCAGCAACAGTAGAGAGAAAGGGCGCTGACAGCATAGAGCCAGGAAAAAACTGTAATTCTAAGAAGTTGAGTAAAGAGGAAGGCGAGGTTTCGTTGCATATGTACAATGGGAAGGCGCTGTACCACCTTTGGAAGGACGGTTTCACGTGTAATGTGGTGAAGTAAGATGTGTATTTGTATAGGGTGGTTGCAGTGAGCCAAGCTGCGTACAACGGTGTGGGCAGAAAAGAACCAAATTGACACTTGCCAATACAGCACTTCAGTGAGTAAACGCAATGGAAACAAAGGCGTGTTCACCACAAAAATAGGTTCTTCGTCCCTATATCGGTTTGTATAGAACAGTTGAGACAAATTTCTGGCGGTACCTGGATATCGCCGACAAAACAATCACCCCGTCCTAAATGGCAGATTAAAAAATGACTGACAGTTTTGTACAAAATTCTATGAGTTGATATCCACAGAAGCTTTTGAGGGCCAAGAAGGATTCAATTCAATCATGACGAAATAAAGGTTCGCCCATTTAGCGTAAACTGAATCGAGATCACCAGTACTCTCAAGAATAACATGAAGGCCTAGGTGAATGGACTATTCCCATGGCGATGATAAACAGATGAAATGAAATTGTAGATGGAATTCATGTGCCGCGGTGTTTAGAATATTGTCATAATAGGAGCTACATAAACAATGCACCTGATAAGCACCTTACGCTCAAAGCAATCAGGTGAGACTAACCCACATTTTAGATGAAATCTCAGGCAACAAAATAGTCTTATGTGCAGCAAAAGATTCAACAAGTTAAAGCCACTCCTTTTGAACATAAGCATTTTGGTAGGCGTAGCGTGAAGGGCATTTCAGTGTAGACCAGCGTATCAATAAAGAGCCGATTACTCACGTTGAGACTCAAAAATGAATAAAATGCCTATTTATTTCGAAGATTTGCAAGAAAAGATAACACAATGTCATGCAACCATGCGAGAGAGCAGTAGTGGATAGCAAACTAGTGGAAAGACAAACATGAACGAAGCAGCTCACAGTTTAATGAACTTAACCATTAAGCTGAGTTAGCTACTCAAGCCTACTGATTCAGCGATGAAAGAAATATAATACGAAAAGGGGACTTATTCATGCAATTGAATAGGGATAACGACCTCAATGCACTTACTTTTATGGAGAGAGCATACATATGGTTAAGCATGACATGATTAGGCTGGGGCAGAAGATTTGGATCACACTGAGCATTGGTATCCCGATTCAAAATCACCTACGCAAAGTAGAAAAGGAAAGCATAAGACCACGATCTGTTGCCTGAAATTTCAGAAAAAAAAGGGAACTTTCTGCAAAGTATTTTTTAACGGAGGGATTAGAACAATTTCTTGAGAGAAACCTTGGTAGCAAGTAAAAATAGGCCATTAGCAAAGTACACCACCATTAAATGGACTCGTACTAAACACGAACCTTGGAATAAATAAGCGAACGGAATGCTCTAGATCGCATGAAAATGAGAACTTTGAAGGGGCAGATAAATGAAAAAGCGATGATAATTTGGTTGCCTGATTTCAAGAAAAGATGTGAACGAAATCATGTGGAACTCGAAGTAGTGTCCTCGACAATACGCGAATTACATCTTGAGAGGCAGCTTTTGACTCATCAAACACCGAC